TGAGGGCAATACAAATTGTTTCATTACAATCAATGTTAATATTTGAAATAAAGAATTACAGCCAAATTTATGTTGGGGTTTTTAATTAATTGTGTGAAGATGTCAAATTTGATGTATACAAATAACAGTCCGGTAAGTGTTGCTTAGCGACACTTACCGGCTCTGATGCTGTAATAACTCACCTACCGGACTCAAAATGATAGTGTAATCGAACATCTACCGGACAGTATGAAATAAAAGGTACATACCATACTGAGTAGTATCATTGAATAATAAATCAGATTTATTATTCAATGGTAGTATTTTTTATTACGAATACAACGATGCACACAAAAAAACAAAAGTTGGAAGCTGTTGGTTTCAGCAGGATGGTGCACACACAACGACATTATCATACGATGGCAAATATGTCGGAACAGTTTCCAACTTTTGTTTTTTTTTGTGTTACATCGTTGTATTCGTAATAAAAAAAATGCTACTCAATACAGTATGTACTTTTTTTTACGAACCGTATAAAAAAATAAAGAAAATTTCTGCTGTCTTGCAGAGCTCAAAAAGTGGCAATGAGAAGGTGTTTCTTTTATTTTTTCTCATCTGTTCAAAATCAGAAAAAAATTAAAACGATGTCGGCAAATTTCGATTTTTCTGGCTTATCTTCGGAAGTAATCGAAATTTGCTTCGGAGATTCCCATGATAGACATTCTTATTTTGGGCAGAGTGTACCTGTACTTTTGCCAGATGCCAAAATTTGATTTGATTCTGATACGCTTCAGGAGTAAGTGGAGTACATAATTAGTAACCAGAAATGCCAATACATCTCTACTTCTCGCTTTTCAGGGGAATTTTTCCAAAGAACTTCCTAGTCAAAAGTTCCGTTGATCATTTTGGTAAAAGGTTTCCCAAATATCTCTACCCTCCCGTCTCTTCATACTCCATCTGTTTCTTTTTCGGGTGGTGGAGAGCACTATTTAAACACCTTCGACTCGTTCCTCCAGAAGTCGATTTCTGCTGAAATTTTTTACTAATCTGAAATTGTTATAAAAAGTTCCTTATAATGGTACTATACAACAAAATACCTTCCTCCACTGAACTAAAATATTGAAAATACGTAAATCTTTTTCGCTCTTATGTGATCCTAGTACAATAGTTTTTAAAAGAAAGGAATCATATTTCAAACTGTACTAAATAGCTATTTTCCTAATTCCATAAACTTTAAAAGAAAATTTATATCAGGACATAGTGGGTGAGAAGGTTTTTTCGAATGCATCTCTTACTTCCTCGCGTATTTGTGATGTTGATAAATGAAGTTTTCCTAACAAATTTTTTATCTGTTCGTTTTTCAATGGTTTCAATTCAGTTACCTTGACAAGAGAAATTGGCTTTTTTTTTAAATCATGCTAACACTATACAATTTCCCAAAGGAAGAGGAATACCTACATTCTCGCGTTTTTCGATTTCAATGAATAACGTGGCTATGAGCTAGTAGATTCTCTAATCTAACCATTTAGCAATATGCAATATAATAGAAAAACCAGTGATTTACTGAAATTTTATTTTTTCGAATTTATAGGAAATAGTGTGACTACACAAACGAACTATTTTTACGCGTACTCTCTGAAAGGTTGTTCCCGCTCATCAAAGGAACAACATACCTTTCCATTTAGGCAGTTCCCAGGAACGATATCGGTATCATCACAATCGGCCTTGCAGACGCCATGCACTCCATCGTTGGCAGTGTCACAGTGACTAGCTGTGGTCATTAACACCTTAATCCATTCCAAATTCTACTAGTACTTACCATCATGCTCTCGATAAAAAAGGGGCTGAGCCAGATTTCCATTCATCGCCCAGCATATTAAGAATACCGTTAAAATTATTAACTCTCGCATTTCGCGTTTTCTGCACAAATGGGCAGAAGCAAATTGGTCGGCGTGTTATATAGGCACTTTGTTGCGAGAATTAATGGCATATTTGTACATTACTTTGTAATTAAAGCGGCAGCAATTCCGTTTCCACACTTTTTTATAACCTAATCAGGTTCTCTCAAGGTTCCACTCTGGACTGTTGTGTAATGTGCGAAAGATATTACTATTTTATGTCGCATTTGATTACGCTCTCGTGAAAAGGAAACAATTTGTAATATTAATAAAAAAAAGCTGATAAATCAGAGAGCTTTTTCGCTCGTATGCATGAATAGGTTTCGAAGACATTGCATTGTCATGGGTATATAGTCTAATGGAACATAGATTTATTATCTATGGACCACACTAAGAAACAATTGAAGTGTGGGGTTGCTGTTGAAACATGGCAAAAGAAAATGAACTTACAAATGAACGGAAGACTGATCTACCAAGTTAACCAAAAAGATAGCATTTGCCGTTACTTCCGCGTAATTGCCTCATTTATTAGTTTCAAGATTCCACCGTGGCTAGATTAAGTGGCCCTAGAACGTTTAGACCCGTATATCATCACAGACGTTCAAAAAATGGTACTATTCATATATTTTTGCTGAAAAGGATGAAGAGGAAATTGTCAAAGAAACGCTCATACTACTATAGCGCATTCACGTTCTCCAATATCAATCTTGCTCAAATGGCGGGTCGAGCTAAAAATGTGATGTCATTCCCGTAAATATCAATATAAAATTTAAGAAGGGATAGAATTAGAATACCATGGAAAACATCTGCACGACCTCGGCCGGCGAAACAAAGCACTATTGTAATAAGAAATCTATAGCACTTGGATGGCCTCTAGCGGCAAAAATAAAGAAGTAAAGTAATAACAAACGGGTTTACAAAGGAACACTTAGATAGTTTAAGAATATCGAATATAAACGAGAGTAAGGTTACTTAAATGGAATTTAAATCGGGAATATCAATCGATAAGAAAATATCGTTTGAAATTCCTTCCAATCTTACACCCTTGTCATAGCGATTTTTGATTTGAACTGCAATTGCTTCATCAATATGGGCGTGTTAAGCTCCATGCCATGCGTGGAAACGTAAGTAGGTTGACGCATTTTGCCTCTTCTAAAATACTCCATTATTTCTCTACATTGAACTATCGTTGAAAAGCACTTACGGAACAGTATTTATCACACTTTCCACTAAATATTAATAATTAAAACGTCATATGTGAATACGTTCTACTGTCTCCCTAAATTACGATACAATTTGTCACCAAAGTAAGGCACGCAGTAAAGCAACACTAAACAGAATTCACCTTCAACAACAGGTGAAATTTCCAGGGTGATTTTTCTGCAACCCTGTAATTAATGAAAGTTCTCAACACCATACATGAAAATTGTGGTTGCTGAAAAAGGCAGACTTAGGGTGGAGATTATTGGCGGGGGTAATGAAATTAATGTACATAAAACTAAAAATATGGAGAAATCATTCGCAAAATATTGGCGGGGGGTTTAACTTCCCTATCAAAAATTGCCGTTTTCCTCGTTTATATTTCACCCTGTTTTTCTGGCGGGGCGGAGTAGCGTAAATTATCATTTATTGTTGTTTTGAGATCCGAAACTTATCTTTGCATTCGCCAACATACACCAATTCTTAACTTTTAAACCCTTGTCTTCTGTAGGAAAGATGCAGATGTAGTTTGCTATACCTTCGTTCTTTCTCATCATTATCTGCAGGCCTCCCAGCTCTATATCTTCAATGGGGTGTTAAATCCCGAATTGAATCACGGAAGCCGCGGTAACTTAGCTACCGCACTTTCTAGCCGGATTCAGGCTTTGGTTTGGTTCATTTGATTAATTAACACCCTTCTTGAAAACACTGGTAACCGACAGAAAGCATTAGGAAACCTTCCCTAATGAGAGTATATCTTTACTCGTAAAAGAAACATTTCGGAGGGAATAAAGCAACAGATACCTCTTATCTATCTTAGTTTATAAACGCGTAAACTTTAATGCGACTACAAATTTGCGACACAATTCTCAAAGCGGGGCTGTTTTAATCTTAGTTTTCGCGAATGCCGTCTAAAGTAATTTAAGGGGAAAACGATTTTATTGCATAATAAGTTTCTTGTTTGGAACGATTTGCCTGCATCCTGAAACGTGCTAAAGGAAACCAATGCGTCTCAGTGCTGAGATCTCAACTGCCAAATACATCTAACGGTATTGTGTAGATTCCACCTACATCTTTCGAATCGTTATCATTCGCATCTCAATTAGTGTATAACGTTCAAGTAAAGCAGTACATGATGATTGCCTTTAGCTTGATGTTAATGATAGATAAGTTATCTAGGTAGGTATTCGGTTACCATCTCGGATTGCTAACAGAGCTGTGGGCAATATGAGAACTAATTAACGCGGAAATTACTCCCGATTGAGTGTCTACCTATACTGTTTAATTACAATCAAGAAATTGAGAGTGGCAAACGAATTCGCCTAGTGAAAAAGGGTGTCGAACTCTTTGTAAGACAGTCGTTTGTGTAAATTTCCCCACACAACACATTAATATTTTATTGTTCTTCAATGCGGGTCTCTACCGTCACAATAAATAATAATGGGGTGCTGTGGAACAAATAAATTTTATAAACTGCCTTTTTTTTAAAGATATATTTGGTAATGCTTTTATATCAGTGGTAAAATCAGATAAATGTCGTATACTTACTATTGGTAAAGTTATTTATGTGGAATATTATTCTATATCTTCAAGTTCCTGTTCCCTTGTAGAACTCTTCGTCGCCCCCAAGGTCTTGATATACGTATTTCAGCCCTTATTGTTAATAGATTATGATAATTAGCTTACATCTTTGTTTTGTTGCAGGTGAGTTGAGATGCAATTCGTCTTTAACACAACGATTTTACAAAGTAGGAAAGGATGGGTAATAGATCTGGTAAGTGATTTTTAATACATCACCCCCTCGGTAGCATATAAAGAGATCTATTGTGTTAAAATATATTGAGCTACCCTAGTTAAGTAGTTACCAAAACTTGTTAGATCCCAGCACATAGTTAGGGGTGGGCCCAGTTGCGCACTTGATGCCCACCCCGAATTGTTTACGCGATACCTGGTGCTCACCCTACGCGTAACTACAATACGCATGAAAATGTTATTAATTTTAAAAACCCACCTACTAATTTTATGTTACTGTCAAGGTAAAAACGTTATTTATTATTTATTATTTTATAATAAACGGCTCGTCCATAAAGACCCAGTTTATGTACTTGATATATAAATAGCTATTTTGTGCATCATAAACTAGTTTTCTTTAAGTTAACGTCACGTTTATGCTCTTATACCTGATTTTGTACGAGTAATCCGTGGTCGAGTCCAAATTTTGCCACGTAACCATGTAGTTATGGTTTAATTTACAATAATTCGTTGTTTCGCCGCTAGAGGTCGTGATTTTCATTTCTTTTCTGCGTACGCATTCGCTGTACTAAACCGGAATCCATTATTACTTGTAACAAGAACGTACAAACCGCCAATATGTTCACCCGATTTCATCAAAGTACACGTAGACCGCTGCGGTTACATTTATTATGTCTTACCGTCAATGCAAATACATATACCGCCAATAAATTTCATTTTTATCTTTTTTGGTGACTCCTTTTTTAGGAGAATAGGGAATGAAACCAAACGGTAAATAATTTCGTCCCTTAGTCACCCGTTCGGTGCAAGGAAATGTATTAAATTTTAAAAAGCTTGGGTAAATCAGAGAATTACTGGGTTCCTTTCTACGAAAATCATGAGATCATAACGTTCCTGTAATAAATATTGAATGCGTAATGTTTCAGCCAATTTAAAGCTAAACCAAGTGACCGACCCCTCCCCCTCCTTAAAGAACATTTTTCACCTGTATATAATCTATCAATCATTAAGTCTGCAACTGAGTAACTATAATATAGGGTAGTAATCTGAAATGGAAATTTATTCTTGAATATCAGGTGCATTTAAATATCACTTCAGCTTATTACCTGACTGCGCCCATAAATTTCGGAAAATCGCGAACAAAATTGAGACCTTGTGTGTAAAAACGCTTAAAAGTCGAGATTTATACGGAAACGCAATCAGTTTCTTCTAAATTACGAACGAAAAGGTGCTGTGATAGAAAAACTAATTTCGTAAGTGGATGGAAACGTTAAAGCTTAACCCGCTTCGTTTTACAAATGGTGAATTATCTACGCGATTTTGTTGTTTTTCCGTGAAAAAGAAAATGAAATTTGACTGCATTTATTGATTGAGGTCACAGGTTGAAGTCTGAATTATATTAAATTGGACAAATATGTTACCACCCGCAGGACGCAGGCGGATGAAATACGGAAAAAACACTGGTTAGACAAAGTGTTGTTGGTTTTGTTTTTTAGGTGCACGGTCCAATGCAAAATAGCCTTCTGCTCTTCGCCACAGCCGTTTAATTTAAAAATACACAAATGTGTAGTGTTGTAAATAACTGACAATAATATGAATTCTTGTGTGACCTCAAAACTAAACCTCCGTCACATTTTTTACAGCTTAATCACTGAAAAAAATTCATTAAATGGTCCACAGTGTAATACAATGGGATCTCAAGTTTAGAATTTATTATACTAACAGAATCGCTCTTAATGAACCTTATAAGACATCAGTTGATTAGTAATCACGAAAACTAATGAATTATTGTTACTTATAATTACTTTAGGGCAACGACCACTAACACGACTAAAATTCATTAGTAACTTCCGAAATTTAGAATTAGTTACTCCATTTGTTACAATCAAATTCCTTTTAGGAACTATTGCGTAAAGTTATAAATTGCGGTGTTGAAATAAACATTTCCCAAAGAAATATGTAACGCCGTAGCCGCAGCAGTTTCAAGAAAATAAAGTAATCGGGCGTTTCGGTAACCTCGCAGAGGAAATAGGGCACAGTTCCATGTCATAAACTGTTTTTGTCAAATACGCAAATTTGTACTGAGAACTATCGCATAAATTTATACAATTGCAAACGGAATTGAAAATTTCGACACCATTTCCCCAGAAGATCCAATTTTTCGTTTCTCAATTGTCCAGCTTTGGGCCGCCATCATTTTCAGTAAGGCC